GTATATGGCATTCATATACCCAAACTCATGGGCTTCTTGCAGACATTAAAAAACAAAACAAAACAAAAAACATGCTTTACTGGAAGAAGCAGCACGTTACTTTGACCCAGTTCTGCAGCATCTATATAGATTGGGTGCTTCAGCAGGGCTGTTTGGCACTTTTAGCTAAAGCTGAGTCAATTGGCTATTAGATAAAAGCACCAAAAAACCCCACTAGTGCCCAATTTATACAGACTTTGGGCGAGCTGGTTCCAACTAACACAACGCCTCTTCTGGGCACGTGCTGGGCTCAGCACAGGAGCACGCCAAGTTTAAAGCACCACTTTTTTTTTTAATGTCTGCAAACAGCCACAATCTTTAATATATTTATTATTACAACCTCTCATTAAGGCAGTGACGATACTATTCTCAGTATAATAAAATGAGGTACAATCACACTGACCAGTTTGCCGAAGTTTGTTGGTGCTGGAGCCAACCACTGGGCCACACTTTCTCTGTGTTAGGGTAGGAAAGGTAGCATTCTTATGGTAGACACCTGCAACCCTTTAGGCAACACTAAAGTAGAATGAAGTCACTGGGGTAACTCCTCAACTGAAGTACAGGTGCTAAGAAATGTGCTAGCAGCCATTTTTGAAATTTGAAAGTAAGATGACTTTTTTTTGAAAATTTGAGTACATCTTCTTGTGTATTCTTTCTTTTCAACCATCTCTACAACAGGGTCCTCAGTGCCTGATAAGGTAATACCTGACCTATTATTTGTACTGAGTGATAAAGTTGGCTCAGATACTGTCTATATCTTAGCTCATGAAGCACTGCACTAGCAAGTATAAAAGCTCTCATTCTTTCTCAACAAAAATGTTAATGCCCACCAAATGTATCAAGTGCAAAATCTAGAACCCATAGCTGAATGCAAATCTATAAAGAACATGAATACAGTGACTGCTAACGTGAGGCAGCACCGAACTATTCCACTTCAGACCAGTGCACTGATTTGGGGAAATAAAAACAAGGAATTAGTTAGAAAAACCTCAGGTTAATGAAGACCAGTTGATACCATGAAACAGTCATGCATATATCATCCCCCTGCCCAACCCCTTACCTACTAAGCTCACATCATTAAGTTAGCTATCTCCTTACCAGCTGGAGTTAAGTTCAGCCTCATGTCCACTAATCCAATTCCAAGCACCCTGCTGCCTTGACAAACCAATCCAGGCATCACCTTCCAACATGGAAGCTACCCACATCTGAAATCAAAAGCAGGAGGAAACTATAACTAAGCTCCCACAAAGGGCTTCTCTTTGAACTACCTCTCAGGTCCAGCAAGAAAGTCATTGGAGACCCCCATTTGGCAAACAAAGATGTCGTCATTGTTTCTGCTGTCTTAAAAAGTCATGCACAAGACTAAAACATCCCAAGAGAGAGGCAAAACAGAGAGAAAAATTAACTGAACTTCCAGGCTTGACAATATAAAATACACATGAGATGTCAAAATTGTTGTGTTCTTTAGACTGAACGTAACAACTTTTCTGCAAAAAATACCTTTTCTTCTTCATTATCTAGCTTAGCAAGACTAGCATTGTTATAAAATGTACACTGGGTTAAACCCTGCTCCCATGGCATCATCTCTTTCCTTTCTATGTAGTAACAATTGCCGTTCCAATACCACCAGATAGGATCTTGAGGGCATTTTAAATTGGTGAGGCCTGTAAACAAAGAAAAAGTAGGACAAAAGGAAAAAAGAAAGCTATACAGACTTGCTACTTCAAATGGACACTCATTGGGCAATAGATAATACATCATAACTAGGGACATAGATGGGCAATAAGCTCAGGAGAGGGTGGGGTGGGGAGAGACAAGAATTCAGAAGTTTTCCAATTTTCTGCAAATACACATGTGCTTTCTAAAGACAAACAACAAAACTGTGTCTCTATAAGCAACAGCTGCAACACAACCCTAATCCTTAACTGTGATTCCTAGGTACTACTATAAAACCAGAAGAAACATTATTATTTAAAAAGATTAATTATAAAAATACATTAAACCAATACAAAAATACCTGATTTGAATATTTGTGCTGTCGGACTTTTTATTTAAGGGTTTTTTTTAAATATTCTTGAATATTCTGAATATTTTTCACATGAAACTGGGGTGCAAAATCAGTTTCCTCCCACAACAGTTTCCTGTAAATGCCATCGAAGCAGAAAAAATAGCCAGCCCTGTCTGCTGCATTCCTTAATTCCTCATTCAGCTCTCTACAAGCCAGTATTGCCCCATTCAAAAAGGGAATGTGACAAAATGTATCTCAGTGTCTTTCTCAAGGAAGCAGAGGCAGTAGGTCTGATTTCCCTTTCTGCTTTAGGTTAGGCTTCCCAGTTACTTAATTAGGACTAGCAAACTCAGCTCGTCAAACCTGTGTTCTCTCATGCCCCAATATTTTCAGAAATTAATTCATCTGGGTTAGAAAAAAAACACTCATGTCTCATGAGAACATTTACCAGTATGGACCAAGCTGTTTTTGGACAAGTGACATTTTAAAACATCTTCCTAGGCCGTACTACACACAGTGGACAGAACAAGGAAATTCAGAAAGCCAAGCCAATTATTACTGTACCTGATTCACAAATTTCACCTTTAAATTGGTCCATGCAGGTTAACTTTTCTGGGCATTTGCCCATTACTGAGTTGCACCTAAACTTTCCACGGCATGAGGGACACAGACGCATACAGTTTTCTCCATAGTATCCAAAAGAACATTCTGCATGGAGACCATCAACAAAGCAAAGTTAAAAATACAGTAACAGGGATGTAGCTAAACAACTTTCTAAATTATTTGTAAGGAAAAACATGATTCTGAGTTCAGTTTTACCACCTCTTTAGGAACTCCACAACCAAGGCCTTAACCAAGATGCTGTGGAAGCAGTATTTTCTTAACTTGTACAACCTTTCATAGGATTTCTGCAGCCAACAAGCAAATTCATTTATTCACTTGCAGAAAAAACATACTGCATGCATTGCATCATTTAAAAGAGCAGGGTCCCATATCATTGTTCTGCAGTCATTTCTAACACCACAAAGTAGGTGTAAAATAGTCCCGAACACAAAGTTTTATAACTATATGGCAGTGATGCAAAGGGATAACAAATAAAAGGCCACAATTGTACCCTTTATATATTACGGAACAGCCAAGCAACAGGGGCTGTTTGGTACAAAACTAACCTACAGCTAGCTGAAGTCACAGAAAGCTCAACCCAGAGGCGACGTACCCCCAGGTTGGGTTCAGACCACAATGACACTACTGTCACCCTATGCACCATTGCAATTTCTAGCTGCCATCACCAGCTAGCACAAGTCAGAAGACATTTCCAACTGGTCCAAAATATATCAAGGCACCATTTCAGCACGGACTTTGGAGATCCTGATGTTACCTAGGGCCCTTTCCAGCCCCATTAGTAAGAGTGAGCACTTGTCCATCAAAGCCAAGTATAGGAACTAGAGATCTAGAGATGCAACAGCAATAAAAAAGCTTAGTTGTAAAATTTAAGAGTAGTCATCTGTGCCAGTGACAGGGGCTGCCCTACCGCAGAAACTAACAGGTACCCAAACTAACGTCACTGGCAAAGAAGCACTGATATTTCATAGTTGGGAAGGAAGGGGCAAAACTTTTTCGAAGAGATCTATTATAAAATAATATCTATATGTAGCTACCTGAAATGTAAACATAAAAGTTAAGGGTCTGATTTCACTGTGCATCTTCCTGGCATAGCACTAGAGAATGGGGCATTTAAAGTACAGTGAACTGGAAATGTGGTGAATGCCCTCCAAAAACATCCATTCTATGGCAGAATCAGTCCAAAACATTTTAAAGAATTTAATAGTTGGAAGTAATATAAAAGATTCCAATTGTACTTCACACTGTCATTTCTAAGTATTTCACAGAATTTTAACTGAATTTGTCATTTTCACAATTGGGGGAAAAAATTATTTATAAAAAGTTGATTTTGAGATTATACTGAACACTCAAAACTGGTGATGCAGAAAAGATAAAGGAAATGAACTAATAAGAAGCAGACTAATTCTGTTCATCATTTGTACTGCAAACTCCAAATGTGGCAAATTAACACACCGGCACACACAGACATTTTTGGGGACAAAAACTAAAAACGGCCCCATTTTCATGAAATACTTTGACTTTGCTTTACATAACCATAGGCATATTAAATAACTATAGTTTAAACAGTGAATGTTTACCACAGATGATTCTTCTGTACCTACAGCAAATGTTTAGCTGGTGTGTGATACGTACCCTGTTTCACGTATGTAACAGCATCTGAGTCAGCGGCCAATTCAGAAAAATGGATCTCATCAATTCCTGCCACTCTTCTGAAGTAATTAGAGACCTTAACCACTCCTGTGCAGTTGTTGTCATATAAACAGTCTATCTTGGCATCATGAAGGGAGTCGTATATTTTCTTTGATGAAAGCGGCCCAGATAGGTATCGCTCAAGAAACACATCAAAAATGTTTGTCGCTGTGAAAAAGAAAGAAACAGCAAAACAAGTACACGCTGCAACTATCAGTTTGGGGAAGACACTCAAAGTAAGTTTTCAAAAATAATCATTAGTTTTGGGTGCGATTTTGGCCATGGATAGATTAGATTGTGGCTTTTCTAACTACATTGTCACTTTCTGACACCACCTGAGAAATCTGGAACGTGGGCATAGACTACATCTGGGATTAAAGCAAATCATGCACAAAGTATATGGCTACATTAACCTGAGGTAAAAATGCATCTTTTATCATGGAAACTGTTCTCTGCCTTTGTTTAAGTCATGCATTTAGAAATGTGCTATATCAAAAAATAGTTTCTCACAACCATTGTTTTCAAAGAATTTTTGCAAAAATTCAACCAATTTTACATCCACGAATGACACGAGGAAACTACAGATTTGGAGGTTTTAAACATTAGTCGCATATTATGTGACTCCATCAGTTTGTTTCACATTATATTCCAATGTTGCTCACCTTCCATCACTTGAGGTAGCACTGCCACTGGAGTCATCACTAACAAGTTACAATGTCAGGGACTGACTATGACAGGCAGGTCTCCCCTGTCACTGCACATCTTGGGAATACAGGTTCAGCATAAAGATAGCTGCACTCAGCAGCACACCAACAAAATGCGCCTCTAAAATAAGGATCTTATGCTCGATATCTATGTATAGATAGATAAAACCAGGGCAATATATGGCCTGGGGTAACCTGTCATGAAAGACGCACGATTTTTGGTGCAAACTCAAGTGCAACAACACAGCCAACTGGTAGCTCCCTGAGCATGCCTTCAATCATCATAGAATTAAGGTCAAAAAAAGAAAGAACTAAAGTATAGAAATGCAATGATATATCAGTCCATATCCGATCAGCACCAATAAAAGGATAATTGATATTATCGGCAATTGGCTTTTTTTGGCCGGTATAGCCAATAATGTCACAGTTAAATGCCATGTGCATGCGCACAGCCACAGCATGCACATGACCAGGAATGCAGCCCAGAAGCTTGGAAAGCAACATCCTACCACTAAGTCTGTAGGGGGAAGGGACATGGGGGGGACAGATGGAGACCCTCCACAGTGAGGGAGGGAGTGGGGCTGGAACAGAGGCAAGGGCAGAAGCAGCTGCCCAGCCAGGGCAATGAATGCAACCCTGAAAGCAGGGGAGAATCATGGGTGGCTTGTCTGATGCAAAGGGCAGGAGGGTGAAGAGAGAAAGGCAGCTCCCCACTGCTGCATGCACCCCAATGGGAGGCATGGGGGACATGTGCCTCCCAGATTTTTGCACAGGGTAAAGGCAGGCTGCCTGCTGCAGGTTTGGGGCCAGGGGCTGTGCCAGTCTCTTCCCAGCAGGGAGGCTGGGCTGGGGCAGCACTGGGATCGGTGGCTACAGGGTAGCTACAAGGAATTTTGGGGTGGTTGTAGCTCACCCTATAGCCCCCCTCCCAGCACCACCGCTCACCCCTGCCTGCCCCAAATGGAGCCCTAACCCAGCCTGTTGCCTGGAGGAGGTCAGTTCAGCCCCTGGCCCCCGAGCCCAGTGGGCAGCCTGCCCTTGCCCCATGCACAAATACAGGGGACACATGCCCCGCAGACCTCCTGGGCGGGTGCATGCTGCGGTGGGGAGCCATCTTCCCGTGACCCCCAGATGAGCTGCCTGTAGCTCTGCCCCGCTCCGGAGTTGCATTTGCTGCCCTAGCTGGGCAGCACCTGCCCATGCCCCAGGCCCAGCCCACTCTCTCCTCACTGTGGGGGCCTTGATCTGCCCCCCGCCTCCCCACACGCACCTCTCCCCCCACCACCACAGACTTACCGGCAAGACAATGCTCTCCAAGCTGCCATGCTGCATATTGGCTATTGGATCAGTATTGGGCTATATGGCTGGTTAATAATCTGCCATCGGTACTGGCCAAAAAAATCTTTACCGGTGCACCCCTACTAAAGTATCATGATAAAAGTCTCTTGAACAAAACCGGAAATCAAAAAAATGCATAGCTGCATTGACAATACCAGATTCACTGTCACAGGCCAAAAAGACACAGCCCTCAATGACTTCAACCAAGAGATGCCCCTTTACAGACTCTCAGGATCTCCCTGGTATCAGCCTACACACCCTTACAACATGTTTCCTCTTTTCTAACTGCTGTGTTTAGGGCAGAATTTTTATGAAAGTCACTTTATACGATTAATATGCACTGAATTCTATTTTCCCACTTAAATATTTAACAGTAACTAGCAAAAAAGATTGGTTTTAAGTTTTTTTTTCATAAAAACTCCTTCATTGCAACTTACATTCAGTTTTCTTACAGAGCCACCTGTGCTCATTCTCACAGTTTAACTTCAAAATACTTGAGGATGTTGATTTCATACCAGCACATCTTCCAGCTGAGTCTCCAGACATGGGTAACCTGACATGCAAATACACAGGGAATCTCCTGGAACATTTACCTTTTTAAAAAAGCTTACCTGTGTAAGATGGCCATTAAAACTTAAAGAATGAGAACAACAGTCCTTGGCATACAAGAACTTTGGAAACTTAAGTCTCAAAACACTCTTGGCAAATCTTTACATTAACTTCTAGGCTGATTCAGCCACTAAGAGTGAAACCCCAGTGCAGAGGATAAATGTAAGGACTGATCACTACTTCAGTACCACTTACACCTTCAAATTTAGAGATGTATATGGTCTCTAGCCTTCGTGTTAGCATGGGATCAAATTGTGGCCAGAACAAGTAAGGGCACAACTAGCATCCTTTCAGTGCCCTCTGGAACCAAATACACCACTGCCCCTAGGAACATGGTGTTGTGCTCTGTTTTGTTACTGCTATTTATTAGAAATACCATGCTGGCATATTAACATATGAATTATAATGAAAAAAGCTGTTTTTGTTTCCTTTTTGCCACTGTAGAAATCAGGAAAAAATGTCTTTTTAGGAAGATAGACAAGTACTATAGTCTCCTTTTTACAAATGCGGAAATTGTAGCACAGAGGGGTTATATAATTTGCTTAGCATCACATTCCATTAATAAATTATTCATGAACAGAACCTAAGTTCAATCCTTCAGCTCATGGCTGCTGTTTAGGGAATACAGACAACACTTGAAAGAAGCAAACCAGTTTTTATAGTATCTGAAAGAAGCATATATGTTCCTCCCATGTACAGTGTACTAATCCACCATATTCTTATTACAGCAAAAAAACAGTTGAACAGGAACTGGTGCTTATGGCACTGTGGTAAAGAGGATATGCTGTTTCAAGCACCCTTTCAGTAACACACGTCATTGCTGCTCTTTGCCATACATTTCAACAGATAGTTGGGCTTCAGCAACTTGAGAATGCTGGCCTACACAGCAGGCTCTTCCCAAATACATGGGTCTTTTTCCAAATAATGCACTATTCCTACAGATTTAGATATTTTCAAACTGATCAAAAATGGGAAAAGAAAATTGCACAATAAATCACTTTTTCTTAATTATATTCTGAATTTCAAAATATTGATAGAACTTTAAAAAAGTTTCAGTAACTTAGGTAAGTTTCAGTAAAATATCTTCCTAGGATGCAAAATTAATACTGATTATTATTATAACTTAAACCAGTACTGTATGACAACTTAAAATGTGAAACATCACTTATGCTGTTTTGTCTTTAAGTACTTTTATGGGCCATCATTCTCAGCTGGTGGAATCAGTACAGTTACTAACTTCAGGAGAACTATGTGAGTTCACAACACTAAAGTCTGGTCCTCAAAATGCCCATCACAATCCTAAACACTACTTTACCAGTGAAGTTCTTTGGCTGCTGAGTTCCCATTTGACCAAATCCATATAGATTCTTGTTGCCTGCTATTCAGTCCAATCCAAAAAGTTTCAGATGTAATTACAGACAACAGCCAAGCCTATCAATGACATAAGACAACATGACTTTTTTGGATATAGTGGTATTTACTGCAGCAAGGTCTAAAACATTAGATTTAAGTCTAAGATTATAGTTTTTTTTCTTTTTTTGTGTTTCATTCACATTTCCCCACCAAATATAAGAAATACCAGTTCTTTTTGGCTCCCAATCCACAGCAGATCTGCACTTCTGAATCTTCTACACATCTGCCTTGCTTTTACCCAACTGACAGAGGCTTCTGTGCTCACAAAGTAACAGTTGCCTTCCCAATACGACCAACCAGGAAAACGTGGGCACCATAAACTTTTCATTTCTAGTCAAAAAAGGAAGTAAAAATACAAAAAGGTCCTGTTTACTGGCATCTAATGAAAGGATCATTAGTTAATCACTGACAAAATGAATGGGAAAGAAAAACAACAGTCAAAATTAGCACGTGTAAAATGACACCAAAAACACATGCAGATCTTCAAAGTTTTGTACTGCATTAAACAAATACAATCCTCCTCCCTCCACCCTGCATGGAAAATGCCTGTGTTATCATTTACGTACCTCTTTGACAGGCTGTTGGTGCACTCTGGGCACTGCAAAAATGGAAATCATTGCAAGTGCCTGTGTATGGATTGCAGAGGCCATTATTGTGACATAAACTGCACATAGACGAACAATCCTTTCCAAAGTAACCCATAGCACAATCTAAAAAGCAAGAGTGGAAGCTGCCATGCCATGCATTTCATGGCCACACGGTTACGATACAATGGCTGGATATGTCTGTGACAGTCCCTTTTATAGCTAGGGGAGAAGTAAAGAGAAAGGGGCCCCTGTTCCCCCAGTGAAAGCCTACTTCTAAGTTGCTTCTTTTGGGAATCTGGATGCAAAATGGAGAGTGGAGGCAAGGAGTATGCACAGCCATGGCTCCATCTCCATATGCCAGCCTGGGGGTATGCTTCACCCCTAGAAAGCCTTGCAGTGCTCCCCCTTCTGTGGCTAGATTTCAGCACCTGAACCCAGCTTTGGTGAAATATAACAATTTGTTTTGTGTTTAAACCTCAAATCTGGACTGAAACATATCAACCCCTGACAGATACCAAAGAAGTCCAACCTTTTCTCTTATACTTTGGCAGCATTGGTTACAATCTGTCCTGCCAATAGAAACTGAGAGGACACCCACAGAAGTCTGGAAATTACATGTCTTTAACTGTATGACACAACACTGCACAATGTAAAACCATCCTGGAACAATAATAGAAGACACTAAGAATTAGTAATAACCATGCTACCACTGTTAACCTAGCAGTTAATAGCAGCATCACATTAGAAACACTGGAAGCCACTTTCTGTTCCTCTAGACAGGGCTTGTAACTGGTCTTATTACAGTGCATGGGATCTGTGGGCTACCTGAATATTTCAGGCTTACCTGATTTTACGTAGGCATAGGAATTGCTCTCTTCACTTTTCATCAACACTGTTCCTCCAGCAAGGGCATAAGCATTCTGCCAGGTAGAAATTCCTGTGCACTTCTCCCTAAGTTCCAGGCAGGCTTCTTTAGCAGAGTGCAAATCTGCATGTACTTCTAATGGATCACGTGTTGATGAGAGAAGGACTTTGGCTTTATGTTCTTGATATCGCTCAACATCTAAAGAGAAGGGGAAAACAAGAAAATAAAAGAAACATAAAGTGCAATAATACAGCTAGATGTCCACCTATGCTCCCAAAGGCACAACTCAGGTGCCAGTCCAACCTCTGCAATCAACCCAACTTCCTCTGCCTGCAAAACCACAGCTGATTGTGTACACTTCTCCAAAGTTAAAGATTTCTTGCTGTTTTAGTCAGCCAAAAATCCATAAGGAAAAGAGTGAGCTTGCAATTTGCCACAGTCTGATGGGACCTCTATGGCGGTGATCTCTCGTTTTTTTTCCATGCACACTGCAATACACACTACAGCTCCACTTCTACAACAGGATTACCTGATTGCCTCTACTTTCCTTCTTGTCAATGACTGAAAGCTGAGCAGGAGCAAGGCTTATGTACCACTTAAGTCCTCAAACTAGAAACATAAGTAAAACATATGCTATGTGCCAGTCCTTCAGTACACAGGAGTGAATTTGACACAACCCAAGCATTGCTGTATTGATAAACTGTACAGCATCAGAGAGCAGGTTCAAAGTGAAAGATGGCATTTGACAAAGCCTTTCTAACTGGAAAAAAAATTAAAAACACAATAATGAAGTTGTGCAATTTTCCAGAAAATTTGAGACAAAGCAAACTATTTTTGAGAACCAGGAGAAGCAGGGAAATGATCTTGGATTACTTCTGAGTCATGCTTTATTGTAAGTGGCCATGTGAAAATTGCAGGTTAGCTCTCTCTGTGTCATCAGCATTCAAAAGTTGTGTAACAAAGGGAAAATATAAAGGTTAAAAGATAAAAGATTTAATCTGCCTTTTTAGTTTTCTTGCATCAGTTTGCAAACCTTGTGTCATTCTGTTGTTTTAAAAAAAATATCCTGATACTTAAAAAGAAAAGAACAATGCCTATTTCTAAACTATTTATCATATATAGCATGCAGGAATCAAGAGCAATTCAAAAACTGCAAAGCTGTATGTACAGACCAGCTTTCAAAAACAAATCTAACACAGAAGACAGAGCACAAAGCCAGGCCACGTTCAACAGACTACTATAGTCATGGGTAAGTCAAAGGCATTTTATAAAGTGATTTCCTTTTTTCCTTATTGTTACAAATAAAAGGTATAAAAAATAGCTGCAAAAATTGTCAAAAAGATAATGAAATCCTAGCAGCTGAAATCCAAGAGATCTTTGTTTTATAAAGTGTTGACATAGTTCATAAGGAGTTTCCTATGGCTTTGAGAAGAGCATTCTGCGAAATTCAACTTTAATCAAAAAAGTAAAAACTGTGGCAGCAGGCTTCTATTATTTTCTAAGACTCATAACTCATTTCTGCCTCCTTTCATACAGAGCTCATTGTTATCACTGTCTCCACAGGAGCAAAATGAACAGCACTTAACTGTCCAGTTAAGATTTACAAAAACACTAATGAAAAAGATTAATCAAAGCATGCTTAACTACCCTGACAAGATGACTCAACAGTAGCATGTGGTTCCTGTTTAATACGTTAAGAATATTAAGTGAATAGTGAATTCCATTTGAAAAAAATGGACTATGCTAAGACCTTGATCACAGAAAAATCAAAGCTAAAGGATGTTTCTTCCTTACAAGTTTTTCTAGTACAGCTGTCAGTCAGCAATGTGATTTTTTTTCCTATCATACCGGTATAACGATACCTTACACTGATATCGTTTATTTCAGTTCCTGATATGAAATAATCTAACCCCAATATAATAAAATCAGCAAAAAATCTCAAATGTAAACAAGCCCTTAGCAGTAAGAGCTTACTCCCATAATGTTTTTTTCCTGACTATATTCCCTATAAGCCCCTTTGAACCCTAAGGGTGAGTCTGGGTAAGCACAGCTGTGTGGCATGTGGCACCGCAAATGTGTTTGGTGCGCCACAGACTGCACAGTCCAGTGTTCTCTGCGCTGCAAGGTTGTGCTGCCCAAGTGTGTGCTGCTCTGGGTTTTTATTCTGAAGGTTTTTTGACCCCTCGATATCCAGGAGTCAGAAAACCCCATAAAAAAAAAGAGCAGCACATGCTCGGACATGGGAGCCATACTACCACGGGACCGTCCATGTGTATTTTGGGGTGTATCTGGGTGTATTTTGTTACTGTAGCTGTGATGGCAGCAGTTGGAACTTGCATGTAATATGTGTGTTCTTCAGGAGCTAAAACTGGTATCCAGTGACTGGGTAGGCATCTTAAAGCAACACACTCATTATTTAGCATCAATGCATTTCAGAGAAAAATATCATAAAACAAAAGACTGTACGTCTTACCAGCAAAAAACACCTCTTGAAATTCTGGTGAACCAGGAACTTACGATCCTGAAACGGAAGCTTATCCATTGTTTTTCAACAGTCTCCATTAATATAAAGCAATATAGCAATCTAAAGCAATATGAGGCAGACTCTTCCTATGCCTGGAGAAGCATATTTGTGGCCCACAGCTTGCAAAGAACAATTTTTCCAACTATTTAGTTGGTGTAATAAAAGATATTACATTTACCCAAAGAACCTCATCTGCCTATTTTTCTCACTTAATAGTTATACAGTCTCCCTCAACAGCATCATCACATAAAGCATTAATAAATTTATTATATGGCAGTTCCACATCTGCCTAAGAAACTACTTATGAAAACAAACACTACTCATCATTGAGCTTGCAGGATTGAGTGTTAAAAGTTACATTTGTGAGAAAATACCTGATTTAGATATTGATGAATTAAGCGATTTCTGCACACATTCTCACCTGCACTTCTCTTGCAGATCCAATGGGCCTTGGCATTACAGTCCAAAGGAATCAAGTTGCCGTTAGAAATTTTCACACAGTACGTAGTGTTTGGCTGAACTGGGTATGTGATCCAAGACCTCTCGTTATATTTTAATGGAATTAAAAAAAAGTCACTATTAAAGAAAAAAAAATCTAGAGACATAATCACTACAGCACAATAAGTTCTGATGTTCTGGTTTGTTTATTTTTAATCAGCACTGTGGTTGGTGAAAAAAAACGGGAGGTGAAATCATAAGATTTCAGTGAAAGTTGCCATTTTTTAACTTCATGTTTGAAATATTGACCAGCTCTAGCTTTTGGTTCCATTCTCTGCCTCTGAACTCTCAAATCTACGTTGTGCTTTAGCAGTCAAGTTCGAAAACAGACTTCTCTCTTTTAAACACCAAGCCACATGTCTCCTATGCTGTTCACAGAGAGAGAAATACAGGCCAATCTGTATCCCGCTTTCCCACTACTGGAACACTGTGATGGGGGAATTCTGATCTCACCAGCAATAAGTTTCTCCGCTGGATTACTCAGGTTACAACAATATTGCTGTGCCCAGTAGAAAGAAAACCTTTAACAGCCATTTACTGCTACTCCAGCCATTATACCCAGTGAAAAAGGCGTTGGAATGGGACTGACGGTCTCACTGAATAGCTTTTTATTCTTCATGTCATGTTAAGTTATATATATTCCATAAATCTTTTCCTCAGAAGCTCTCCAACGCAATGTCTATATCTGAGCTAGTGGATTAGAATCCTGTTTTCAAAATCATTTAATTTCCATGATGTAGCCAGAGTTTCTGCTGCAGTCTGCTTCACTGGTATTATCACAGAATCATAGAAAATGAGAGTTGGAAGGGACCTCAGGTCTAGTCCAACCCCCTGCTCAAAGAAGGACCATCCCCAAAAAATCATCCCAGCCAAAGCTTTGTCTAGCCAGGTCTTGAAAACCTCCAAGGATGGAGCTTCCACTACCTCCCTGGGTAACCTGGTCCAGTGGTTTACTACCCTCCAGGTGAGAAAATTCTTCCTCATATCTAACCTAAACTTCCCTTGCTGCAACTTGAGACCATTACTCCTTGTCCTCTCACCTGCCATCACCAAGAACAGTCCAGCTCCATCCTCTTTGTAACGCCCCTTCAGGTAGTTGAAGGATGCTATTAAATCCCCTCAGTCTCCTCTTCTACAGACTAAATAAGCCCACTTCCCTCAGTCTTTCCTCAGAAGCCCCTGCTCCCTCACCATATTTGTCACCCTCCACTGGATTCTCTCCAATTTGTTCACATCCTTTCTGTGGGGGAGAGGGGGGGAAACTGAACACAGTACTCTAGATGTGGCCTCACCAGTGCTGAATAGAGGGGAATAATCACTTCTCTTGACCTGGAGGCAACACACCTACCACAATGCAGCCCAGTATGCTGTTAGCCTTCCTTCCAACAAGGGCACACTGTTGGCTTATCTTCAGCTTACTGTCCACTGTAACCCCCAGGTCCTTTTCTGCAGAGCTGCTGCCCAGCCATTCAGCCCCCAGCCTGTACACACGGTGCATGAGATTGTTTTGTCCTAAGTGCAGGACTCTGCACTGATTATATGAGTATTAACTGATTTGATTACATGAGTACTAACTCATGTAATCAGATTTTTACCTTCTACGGGTGATTATTTTTAAGTCTAATTTTTATCTCATGAAAAAATAAATAAAAGTGGATCAAGCAAACATGCTCAGTATGCTTAAAAAACCTCACACTTATTTAGTAAGTGAACTTTTCAAATCATTCTTACCAGGGTGCTGTCAGGTCTGCTGGTGATCCTTCGGACCATCTAAAATTAGTCATATCTTCCAAATTATTCAATCCAATCCAAAAATTGTCCAGAGGCAACTTTAAAATCCACATCTGCAGAAATCACAGAAATTATTAATTCTTTTCTAAACAGGTTTGAGTAACAATCAGCACTTGTATAATAACTTTCATCCAGGAAATTCAGACACTGATTCTACAAATACTGTAAAAAGAGTTATTATCCCTCTTTTAGAAATCTGAGGACTGAGACATAAGCAAGTTATGTGTCTTTTCTGAGGTCACATGATATCTTTTTGGTAGGGCAGAAAATTCAAGCAAGACTTCTGGTCTTTTTAAATACTAGGTAACATAGTCTCACACATCAGGCCAAATTCTTCTCCTAGTTATACTCATACAACCTCATAGTATCAACAGAATAGCTCTGATGTAATTCTGTGCAAAGACTCTCCCACCAGCATACAGCATGCATGACTCATTTAGTTCCAAAACGGAAAGCAGTGCAGTTGGCAGCAGGCATCATAAAGCAGCAAACTAATCAATATCTCTGCGCAGCCTCTCCCCAGGCATATCTGATTTTTAAAGAGTTCTTGAACATCAAAATAAAAACGCATTTAATTTGCATGCAGTCAGAAAAGAGGAGGATAGAAGCAGTGCGTGCAGGCATGGTTATGTATCAAATTCACAAGATGACATGCTCTTTTTTGCTTTTTAAATGTCTTGTCTTTGCAATGATTAGTGTTTTTAAAGAAAGATGCTCAACAGCCCTAGTTCAGGGAAACCTACAAGATCTACATCCTTCAAAAGAAATAAACTGCAGTGAGTCTGTTAATAAGAACTGCATAAAGAATCTGACAGCATTTTTTTAAATTACTAACACACCTGAAGCAAAAAAAATGACTTGTTTATTATTGTTTCTTTTTTAAATTCATTTCCTGTGCTGATGTGTTCCCATTACACTTTTGTCCAAAGAGCTGATTTGCTTCTTGTTTTCAATGATATAAATCCAGAATAAATAATCACAACACACTCAATGGACTCATACAACTGTAAAAACAGTGACTAAGTCTCCATATTTAAAGCAACATTGTCAAAGACTATCTGGCCAAACCTTGTTCAACAATGAAGTCTGCAAATGTGAAGACCCTATGGGTGATGCTACAAAACCATGCAGTATACTAGTGGAACTTGCTCCACTGAAACCTCCACTTAGTACAGGTGCACCAATATAGCGGTGCTGTATCAAATTAGGACCGATAAAAGGAAAATTACTATGCTCAGATATCACCTTTCTTTGGCCAGGGTAGCCAATAATGTCACCAATAAATGACGCATGCATGCGCACAGCTGCCATGCATACAACCAGGACTGGATCAGCTCTCCCAGCAGCTTGGAGAGCAGTGTCCTGCCAGTAAGTCTGTGGTGGGGAAGGGGAGTGGGGGAGGGAAGGGGCATGGGCAGGGGCAGATTGAGGCCCCCATTGCGGGGGACAAGGGCAGGGACAGGGACTGGGGCAGCGAATGGGACCCTGGGGCAAGACGCAAAACAGAACCGCAGGAGGCTCGTCCAGGGGGGAGGGGGGCACGGCTCCCCACCGCTGAGCACAGCCCTGGGGGAGGCATGGGGGCCACATGCCCTCCTGGATTTGTGTGCAGGGAGGAAGTAGGCTGCCCACTGTGGGCTCGGGGCCAGGGGCTGTGCTAGTCTCTTCCCAGGCTGAGGGCTGGTTCAGGGCTGGGCTCAAAGCAGGCAGAAGTGGGCCAGGCTCAGCTGCATGGGGTGGGTGGTAGCAGCACTGGGAGGGGTGGGTATGGGGGGGCTATGGAGAATTTTAGGGTGGCTATAGCCCCCCCCCCATCTTCCCCTAGTGCCACCCATGTTCAGGGCACTCCACTCTGCTGCCTTTCCCTTGGGAGCCCTGTACTGGAAGGTGGGCAGGGGGCATGCAGCCAGTGGGGGCTCCTAAGGGAAAGGCAGAAGAGTGGAGTGCCCCCAGCAGGGGTAGCGCTGGGGGTGGGGGCTTGGGGAGCTATAGTCCTCTCAAAATTCCCCCATACCCATAAAGTCATCCCAAATCCCCCACATACCCAACCCTCCCAGAGCTGCCTGCCCTGAGCAGCTGATCCTGCCCCACTCCCACCACCTCCAAGCCAAACACCACACCAGGAGAAGCCTGGCACCGCCCTTGCCCACCTCTGCCCAGTGCACAAATCTGCGGGGGCACATGGCCCCCATACCTCCCCCAGAGATGTGCACAGCAGCAGGGAGCCGCCTCCCCTGCACCCCACCCTGGACAAGCTGCTTGTAGCTCTATCCCCAGGTCCCATTTACTGCCCAGGGCAGTGCCTGCCCCTGCCCCAGGACCAATCTCTCCTTTACTGCGGGGGGCCTTAGTCTGCCCTCGCATGGCCCTTCCCCACCACAGACCTACTGGCAAGATGCTGTTCTCCAACACGCCTGGCTGCATTCCTGTCAATTGGCTATCAGATCAGTATCGGATAATATGGCTGGTTAACAATCAGATGAATGGGCCAAAAAAATCTATCAGTGCACCCCTACCATTTAGGTTTCTTAGTAGACTGCATGGTGATATCAAAAATTTCTCATTTCTGATTTAAAAGGAAATACTCCTACTGTCTCCTGGAGCTTTCACAAAATTCCCTTGAATTTATTTCCCCTTTACTGCACAACTTTTTCTGTGATTAAAATTCAGACACAAGCTGGTTAAGAGTTGCCATCAACAGCCCTGAGAAAGGACCTCCATAAGCAATGCTGCTGAGGTCAAAAGTGCCTGGGCAGGTTCAATCATTGTGAAGAGAGCAGCTGTCTTTGATAAGTGTCACCAACACATGCCAACCAAGCATGACCAGCCTAAAGTGACAGTTTTTAATATGATGGAATACAGTCGGACTAATGATACTGTATGGGACTAACAGAGACTGCTGCTGGCAGTGATTAACTACTGGTCTTCTACTGCTCCTTTAAACGGCATTCATAGTTTCATAGTTTCTAGGGTCAGAAGGGACCTGAGCAGATCATCTACTCCAACCCCCTGCCATGGCAGGAAAGAGTACTGAGGTCAAACGACCCCAGTAAGGT